ATTTTGAATTCAAACAGTGAGGCATGCACTTCACTTCGGTTTGTTTCCACCCCTAATTAGATGTCAGTGATTGAATCCGATCTAATCCCAAGTAACTTTTTGTTTCTTTAGTTCAATCTTTTCTTTATATTAGTTAAGTCACTGTTTTGAATCACCAGTCAAATCTAACTTCAGTCTGTAGCTATTAGGATCGAAAAAGGGTTGAAAACATCAGGGTGAGCTAAACATCTGAAACACATTTTTTCGCACTAGTGGATTAGATAAATTCTAGTTTACTTGTACACGACATTTTGGGCGCCATGTCCGTGTCCGGCACGTGTCGGACATGGATTCTCGATGGACACGCCATGGATACGTGTGGTTCAAAGCAAAATCTGAATTCCCCATTAATTATGTCATAAACTAGTTTCCTTGGTAATATCAGGTTCGAAAACAATCAATATTTTAAACCCAAAAACTAATACCCATTACTTTAATATTTAAAAAATACCCACTGTATTATCCCATGCGATCAAAACTAATCTTTTATTGTTAAGCCTTATTCTTAGTTTTATTTAACTTGATTCTTAATTGTTATCGATAATAGAAAGAAACATAAAGTTTTATATGTATTTTAATTCAGTATTTGATCTAATGTAAATTTTACACACACATATACCAGTGTTTTCAAAGGCGCGCGCCTCATTGCGCCTTACGATGCGGGGCGGTGATGAAGCGCCCCACATCAGATGCAGCAGCGTCTTTTGCGCCTCGCGGACATCCTTACTTTGTGTAGGGTGCATATAGTACATATCCTCATATAGTTTTATTTGTTAACATTTCAATCGAGTCTTGATACTTTATATTCCATATCCCAAAAAGCAAAATAAATCCATTAGGCCTTTTTAATAGCCTTCAATTGAGGATAATTACTAATCCTTTGCTTGGATATTAATCTTGATTTAACATTTGATTTAAAAATTTATGAATTTTGCTAATATGTTGGGTGTTAGCATTAGAAATTAAGGCATTATATTGTGATTTTGTAGTATGATATTATTTATCATTATATTTTCATGTAAATTCTAAAAACATGTTCTTTCGCACTTGATTACATATATTGAAAAATTATGTGTGCGGTGTGCGCCTCGCATCACTCGGGCGCGCGCATCGCGTTGTGCCTTGCGCATGTGCGCGTAAAGATGCTTTGCGCCCCGCATTGCGCTTCGCGCATTGACAACATTGACATATACTTGTGTCTTTCATATCCTACATTTTACAAATTTGCTGTGTCTCGTGTCCATGCTATCTGTGATAAATTTTGACAACAATACTATTTACAAGGTTTAATATGAAATTTCTAAATCATATAAGGATGTATAAAAGCATGTGCTGCATATGCTAAGAAAAATCGACTTGAAAATTTATTCGAAAAATAACATCATAAATTACTTGTCATGAACCATTTTAGTGATTATTTAAAGTCACAAAATCATTTGAGTATACCAAACTTATACATAAAAAATTCTTAATTGTTTCATTCATCATTTGAAACATGAATGTTCAATAATTACATGCGCATAATGCACAAATCCTAATAAAGACCATGATAATAATTTCGGGAAACTCATGCATTAATAAGGTGATCACCCACTTCTTTAAATTTACATCAATCACATGAAACACAAATTCTCGATAATCACATGCATGCACATAGAATTCAAGTACCGAAAATACATGCGTGAATATGCCATTCCCACTTTCTTAATTATTGAGTAAACACTTGAAGTGTGGATTCTAAATAAATGATATAGGTCATTTTCAAATCCCTCTCATTTGTCATACTAAGATTGAATTATAACCGAGTAGCATGGAATGAGAGTACATAGGGGTGCATTCGGTCCGGATACGGTTCGGATATGATGCCTATCATATCCATATCCGCTTACTCATCTCGGATACGGTTACGGATACAGATATACCTCGGTAAGGAAAATTCATATCCATATCCGCTAAAATCGGATACGGTTACGGATATACATGCGGATATATAAGCGGATATGCATGCAGATACAAAACGGATATGAGAAAGCTAGATAGTATTGAGAAAACATAGTTCATATGATACAAAAAAGTTCGTTTATATGTTCATTATATCTGAAAAGTTAAGATTAGACATCTTGATCATCAAAATTAACCACAATTAAGATTAGACATCTTGATCATCAAAATTAACCACAAATCCATAATCTAAGAATCGAAACTATCGTAAAAGTATGACTAATATGTATTCGGATATTTTGGATACGGATACAGATATTTCACTATAAAACCATATCTGTAACCATATCCTATCGGTTATAGATTTGAGTAACCATATTCGTATCCTAACGGATACGGTTACAGATATTTCCTCGGATACGGTTTAGCACCCCTAAAGTACATATTGCTTAGCAATTATCTCCCAGGAGTAGAATATACTTAACCTTGTCATACGTTGCCTAACAACCACATCACTTATGCCACTGAAGCCACTTCACATATTCCAAAATGGTCACTTCATTTATGTCAAAAAATACCACTTCACTTAACATTGAACCTAGTAGTATGTGGCATGCTCAATCACTTTATTTCATTGTGGACTTTTCAGGGTTGTAGAACATTAACAATCATCACCAATCACTTTTTTTCAATAGCACATCACTTAAACCAAATAATATTGACAAAGAACTTGACTACTTGTTCAAAATCATTTACCACTTTTCGACCAATATGGGTGTAGACCTCATGATATCAATAAAGAGATTCATAAAATTTTGATTTTGTGTAGCTCTGGCACTCTAAACTAAATTAAATAATGGGTAAACTAGTAAATATGTAAAATTATCGATAGCACATTTCAATCATTTGCTTTCTTGGTTATTACGAAAATAGAAAAAAATATTCATGTTTGCTAAATAAGATGAGAATAATGTTGATTTTCTTTACTCAAATAATATTGGTTTGAGGACTCAATCACTTAATACATTAAAACCTTTGAATCGATGAATGGGTATTCAGACAATTTCTAGAAATTCACTTACCTTTGCTATTTCACTTCACAATATCTAATCACATATAAACATGTAAAATCCGTAAAATATCAATATTCACTTTCTTTCTCAATATTGTTGAAGTAAAAATAATATGCGCATTTAAATGATATTTGAGAATAGTGTCAATTTATAATATTCAACATGATCAATAAATCATGCTGTAAAATCACATTCCACAAAATAAATGTCTAAATCCAATTTTTATTTTACATATAACTAAGGCACGTAAATACTTATTGTCGAACACAAGGACGTTTTGTCAATCAGGTATATTTCTCATGTCATATATGTTTCTAAAAATAACTAGTAAAAAAATGTAATTACCTCTTAAAGATTCCAATGTTCAATCCAAGTCCTCTTTGATTTCAATATAAGGCCCTATAGGCCTATAGTACAAAATAGCTGTGCTAATATCAATTTAGTTTTGGTATACACACTACAGGCTAATCCTTCTTAGTTCTAGGTCCATATAGAGTCGAATGGACCCACTAGGGTTCACATTCAACTCTTGCTATTTTTAGAATTTTATCTGGTTTTTATACTAGTTTTTCAATCATTTCGAACCTATCAACAAATGCCAGCAAGGACGAAGCGTTATATAAAGTTTTCCATTCTTTGTTTTTCTCCATTCTCTTCCCGGCTCCTGCTTCCAAGCCCTCTTCCTAAACAGATTTTTGATTGGATTCAGAGACACTTGCTGTGACCTACGACACCTGCTCTAATACTGCAATGGTTGGCCAACGTTGGCAACTTGTCGGTGGCTAGTATATGGTGGCGGGCAATGAGGTCCTTGCCAAAAACTTCTTTTTTTCCTCTTTATTTTTCTCTCCTTTTCTTTATGAACCCATCAAATAAATTTTGATTTTGAACACATTAAGCCATCATCAAATTTTCATGGCATTAGATTAAATAGGTGTTTAGTGCTATTAAATGGAGAAAAGAATTATACTTTTGGGCGAAAGTTCGCAAGTCTTCTCTCTTTATTTATTCTCCTCAATTTCTCCCTCTCTGTCTCTCTCATTGTCATTCAAACCTATCTATGGAGAAAAATGGGTGCTTTGTTTATTCTTTTTTTTCCATACATTTTGAGAAAGGCATGAGTGTGTCTCTTTGCCACCCCCCACGGGAATGAAAATCAGGAACTTAACCTGCTTCCATTAAAGAAATTTTGAGGTCCAAATTGGAGTTCAGACATTGATGGTATAGTAAAATTTTGTTAAAAAAGTTATTAAAGAATTTAGTACATTTTCATTTTTTCGGATTTCTGTGATGCTATAATGAAATATTTAGGTTTTACAGGATATACACATTTTGATGGAGATCACAAACTTTAAGCATGTTAAATACTTTGGGGTGATCGATTATCCATGATGGTGACTGAATATTCGATGTAATGAAACATGTTAGACATATTTGTATACAATCGGATAGTTGTTTCATTTCTCTGACTATACCTATAAAATCTCATATAAATTTAACTAACTAAATGCTTGAGAGGCCGTGAGTATGTGCTACAAAACTACTACTGGGATCTCCTGCACTGTTGACATTAGAACGAGATTTCAAATGTTTCTTTTCTGTTGTGAGGTTCCATAAATTGAAATGAACCAAACAATCGAAGAGGAATTGCAGGTTGACAACATTTTTCTTGGACTTCGGGATTATGATTCTGCTCTAAATAATGTCATTATGGGGCACTGTTATGCTCGAGGTTAATATTTTATCAGTGCTGGCCACCCTGTTTCATGCGCTAGAGAAGTTATAGATTTTTTTGCATAGTCCATTCCCTGGATTCTCGTCTATTATCAGTGTGGCTATTTCTAACAAGCTAGTGAAGGACCAATTGGTTTATGTTCCTGTTGTGTACACCTGATTATAACTTTTTTTCTTGCAAATCTTTTGCTTACGACTTGTTTTCCAATGTAGATAAGACGTTTAAAGGAGCATGTATTAACACAGTTGCCTCCAAAGCGCCGACAAATCATTAGATTGGAGCTGAAGAAAGCAGATAAGGCACAAATAACATCTTCTAGGTTCAACAATGGGGTTTGCATGGATAAACAAATGGATGAACTTGTAATGAACTGTTCTTCTCACCAAAGTGAGGGAAGTAATCAGAATTCAGAGAACTATAATTGCAACCATGGTAATTTTATTCCACATATGTTCTCTTTCTCATTGTGCATCCTGTATCTTGTACCTGTCTATCAGTAGACATGGACTCGAAGAACATGATTGATTAAGAGTGCACAGAGATGTTGAATTTATTTATATTCTGTTGTTGCTTTGAACCCAGAGAAAGAATGCCAAGAAAAAAGTGCAAAGCAGCTGTCCGATCAAGAAATTGGACTGGCAAAGCTCTCTGGATTTTGTGAATGGTTTTCCAACCATGGCATACTTAGAGAATCAGAGGATGCAAACAGTATGCCCTTGGAGCTTCATTGTCGGAAAATGGTAATATTTGCCCATCATCTGAAGGTTCTAGATGGTATACAGGTTAGTTTTCTATCATCACAAATTTCTTTTATTTTCATTGTTTAATGAAGACCAATGCGCTATGACATTTAGCTTGTTAACTTACCTTCAACGTGGAAAATTAAGTTGAGCAACAAATTGTGTTTGGGAGGTATATGATAGACTTTGAGATTTGTGTACTATCAAGTTTGTGCTTTTGTCAAAAGGGTATACTTTAAGAAAGTACTATGAACTCGGTCTGTTTTAGGAAAAAAATCAGTAAATATCGAATGTTCACATACTGCTTTAGAATTTGCATAAAAGTCTTTGTGTAAAGTTACCTATATAACCCTCCATCCCAAAACGCACCATGTGCATCACAATATCTGATTGCTGATCCTATAATTAATTCTCAGGTGGAAATTATGTTGGTAGGATAATTGAAATAATCATCCCAGGGATTCCCTATATTCATTTTTTACACTAGATCTCAGTGTGGACCTTGGATACTTCTACTTTTGTTTTCCCTTTGTTTTAAACCTTTACTTTTCTTTTAAAGCCTTTGTTTAGTAGACCACGTATAAGAATCTGATTGTCAGAAACAACCTACCCCTATGTGGGTGTCAGGTTGCATAGATCTGACTCTGACCCTCCCTAAACACCGCAATGGCGGGAGTCTCATATTCTTGGCTGCCCTTTCTTTATGAATCTAATATGGAAGCATGCTTTCCTTTCTCTTTGGATTATATTTGCTGGGGAGGTTCATTAAATCCCCTATAGGAAATTTATCTTTTCTATAGCAATCTTATCTTCTTTCTTGTCCCTTTATTCTCAAGTCTTCCTGATCTGGGAAATTTATGAGTTTTCTGCTGGTTGCACGAGCTGAAACTTCATGACTATAATGTAGCTCTACTTGCCTTGCAATTGGCCTTTTTCCTTTTTTTTAGAAAGTCTTTCTTGTTTACTTTAGTTGGCCAGGATTTTGTGACCAACTTATAGAGGTTGGAACTTTACCTGAGGTTCATTAGCAGGTTGCAAAATCTTGGTAAATTCTTCTGTGGAGCTTCCCAGCAGGATTTTGTTAATTATCTTGCTCCGGGTTCACCTGTTGTAAACTAAATAAGGCTCAACAAAAAAAATGATGATAATGAGGGGTGAGTATTTTTTTCCCCAGGGATTTGTATGTCAGAAAGGAATTCAATTTGTACGTATTGATGGCAGTACACTTGCTAGAGACAGACAAACAGCAGTGGAGAATTTTCGTCTATTAAAAGAGGTAAAATCTTTGTCTCATTTTCATGCCATTATTTTTGATAATTTTTAGTGGTCCTTTTAGATAAAGGAATTTCATGTTGTTAGAAGAGAGTATGAGTATTAGTTTAGTCCCACATTGCCCGTGAGACTAATTTGTAACTAATCCATTTCTATAAACAATAAAGTATAAAGTGAGGGAAAACTCTCCCAAAAAACTATTTTCTTTCCAAATCTTAAAATGGTATCAGAGTCTATCCCTAACCCTAATCCTAATACTAATCCAAATTCCTAAGCCTAACTCTAACCGTAGGCAGCCGTCTCTCTCCAAAACCCTAGCCGCCAAAACCCTAGCCGCTTTCTCCAAAACCTTAGCCACCAAAACCCTAGCCGCCAAAACCTTGCAGCCGCCTTATCGTCCTTATCTTTCTCGTTCTCGCCATCGCCATCGCCCTCATCTTCCTCGACAACTCCTCATCCTCGACCATCCGATCCACTTCCTCGTCCTTGAGCTTCTCTTACCCGACGCGACAATTCTCACTCGACGTTGCTCGCCGTTGATGACCACCGCTACTATGTGGCCTTCGCTCGCGCTCTCCTTTTGTTTTCGGATCTGAATCAGATCTGCGAGTTGTCCTATAAAAAAAACCTTCGGGTTTCATGTTAACCTTTGGGTTCTTGCATTTTAACCTTCGGGTTCAAAATTAAACATTCGGGTTCAAAATGAAACCTTCGGGTTCTTAGAATTGTTCAGCCTACTGGCTAATTCAAGATTTATTTTCTTGAACTTAGACATATTTTGATTGTTTTCATTTTGGAGTACAACTTGTGAAGGGTATTATCTTGAACTCTACTCGTCTGTTTCATGATGACCGGATCCGAGGAACTCAAGAATTTTGCGTTAACGGTCCAGACGAAAGTTTCGAAGATATTTTCTGGTAGAATCACTGAACGAAAACTTGATAAAATTAACTATTTTTAGTGGAAGCGTGTTATTGAAATCTACGTAGCAGGTCGAGGTAAAACTGGCCATTTGTTGACAGACCCTCCTAATCCGACATCGGAATCTTAAACATTGGACGATAGTGTACTCTTGCATCAACTTTTTAATATTATGGAGCCTAAAATTCAGGATTTAGTTCTTCATTGTATGACAATGAAGAAACTTTGGTATTTTTTGCAAGATCTCTATGGGGGAAGCAGCAATATTAATCGGGCATATGAAGTAATTCAAAACCTGTTTCGTAAAAAAACAAGATGATAAACCCATGGATGATCATTATGATGAGTTCATTCGTCTGGCTGAGAAACTTCGTTAAATTTTTTCTATTACTGGGGATGTAAAATAAATGCAGAACCAATAGAACAAACTTATGATACTCATCTACTTAGGCACCCTAGATTCCATTTACTCCTTTGCTCGATCACAAATCATAGGAAGCTTCGTCATTAGTTCTCTGGCTGAGACTTATCATTTTCTGAAGAATGTTGTCCCTGCACAGCCACTCACATTCACTACGAATCGCTTGCGCTTGCCACTCAGAATTGACAGTCTTATGGACGAGGAAGTTATACTAGTGGTTCTGAAAGAGGTAGAGGAAACTTTAAAGAGAGGAGGTTACCACACTGGTCGTTCTGAAGGTCGAGGTGATCAACGAGGTGGTCGTGGAGGTCCATCTCAAGGCAGACATGCTCATGGCGATGACTCAGTGAAGACTTGTAACTACTGTCACTAGGCAGGACATCTCAAATATAATTGTCCTGAATTTAAAAAGAAAGTCAAGGGTGCTTACATGACTGCTCAGGACAACCTCACTTCATCTGATAGTGAAATTCAACCACAGTCACTCTTCCATGATGCGGAGCTGCAACGTCAATTACATCTATTTTAATTATTTCAGCAGTATCAAAGTTCACAAACATCGTTTTCCTCTTTGTTCGCTACTCTCAAAAGTGTAGGTACCCCTTTATCTTTACTTACATCGTCTTCGTCTCATACACTGGTCGTTCTGGAGTCCTGTCCTCTCTCTCTCCTACATCTAATCTAGTTATATGTGCTGATGGTTCACGTACACCTGTTTAGGGTGTCGGCAACACCAATCCTATCCCGTGTCTTTCCCTTTCCTCCGTATTCTATCTTTCAAGTTTTTTCTTATAACCTTTTATTTGTTAGTAAGATTATTGAATTACTAAACTGTACTGTGACATTCTTCCTTGCACATTGTGTCTTTCAGGACCTGATCACGAGGAAAACAATTGGGACGAGACATGAGTAGAATGACCATTATAAACTGGATTTGGACGCCAAATATTTAGCTTGTATCGGAAACTCATTAGCTCTACAATACCACTATCAGCTAGGGCATCCCTCTCTCTGTTCTCAAGCTTCTAAATCCTCAGTTCAAATCTTTTTCCTCATTAGAGTGTGAGTCGTGTCAACTTGGCAAACATCATCGTGTGTCTTATCCTAATCGAGTCAATAAGAGGCTGTTAAGCCATTTGATCTTGTTCATTCTGATGTATGGGGCCATGCCCAATAACTTCAAAATTGGGATTCGGATACTTTGTTAGTTTTGTGGATGATCACTCTTGTGTTACTTGGATTTATCTTCTTAAATCTAGGTCTGAAGCCTTTTCTACTTTTAAACTCTTTGATTCTGAAATAGTCAATCAATTCAAGATTTTTATAAAAAAATTTCGATCTGATAATGCAAAGGAATATTTGGATGATAACTTCACTAGTTTTCTTGAACAACAAGGAATCCTTCATCAGTCTTCTTGTGTTTACACTCAGCAAAATGGAGTTGCCGAACTAAAGAATAGACATCTCCTTGATATTGCTTGGACTTTGCTATTCCATCGTCGCGTTTCCAAAGAATTTTTGAGGGAATCTATCTTAATAGCATGTTAGTTAATTAATCGAATGCCCTCTTCTGTTCTGCAAGATAAAATTTCTTTCAAAGTTCTATACCCCAATGATGATCTCTTTTTGTTTCCTCCTAAGATTTTTGGCTCTATGTGCTTTGTTCATAATCACAGTCCAAATAAACAAAAGTTTAACTCGGTCTATTAAAGACATTTTTCTTGGCTACTCCCGAAAGCATAAATGTTATAAGTGTTTCTGTTCGTCACTCAATCGTCTTGTGTTATCTGTTGATGTGACATTTTTTAAAGATAAACCCGGTCATTCTAGTTCTCCATCTTCATTATCATCGAATGAGTATAACTATTAATCCTGCATGAGTCATTGGTTAACGATGGTGGTTCATCCGCTGACAATACTATTTACTCTACTGGTAAAGACTCAGCTAGGTTTAACGATGCAATTTAAGTTTATCATCATCGCTCTGCTCCTGCTCTTGTGCCAACGTCGGCCTCAACACTACGTCCTCCGCCCGAAGAACCTGAATCAGTAAGTGTAAATTTACCCTCTTTTACGGAAGACCTTCCTATTGCACTTTGAAAAGGGACACGAACTTATACTCAACATCTTATTTCTAACTTTGTCTCCTATGAGCGCCTATCCTCTACCTTTCGATCTTTTGTTACTTCCCTTGACTCATATTTGGTTCCCAAGAATGTGTAAGATGCCATGCCTATTCCATGTTGGAACTAAACGATGCAGGACGAAATGAGAGCCTTGCAGCATAATGAGACTTGAGATTTGGTCCCACTTTCACCAGGAAAGCGGCCCGTCGGCTGCAAGTGGGTGTACACTGTCAAGTTGAATCATGATGGAACTTTGGCATGCCTGAAAGCCCGACTGGTTGCTAGAGGCTATTCACATGTGTATAACTTCGATTACGTAGATACTTTCTCCCCGGTGATAAAATGTCATCTGTTCGGATTTTTGTTTCGTTAGCAGCGACAAACACTTGACCACTTCATCGGTTAGACATTAAGAATGCATTCCTTAATGGTATTCTTGATGAGGAGATTTACATGGAGCAACCACCAGGTTTTATTGCTCAGGGGGAGAATGTGAAGGTGTGTAGGCTGAAAAAATCACTCTATGGTCTGAAGCAGTCTCCGAGAGCCTGGTTTGGACGTTTTGCATCGGTTATTTAGGAATTTAGGCTTTGTCGTGCACAAAAAGATCACTCTGTCTTCTGGCGATTTCAGAATGGGAAATGAATTCTGCTAGTTGTTTATGTGGATGACATTGTAATTATAGGGGATGATGCTTTTGATATTGACAACCTGAAAGAAGTATTTTCAGACACATTTCCAATCCAAAGATCTTAGTTTTCTAAAATACTTCTTAGGTATTGAAGTTGCAAAGTCAACGAAGGGTATTCTTCTATCACAAAGGAAGTATGTCCTGGACATGCTCTCAGAAGCCGAGATGTTAGGATGCAAAAGCAATGATTCTCCAATGGACGTGAACTCAAAACTACTACTAGACTAGGGGAAGCTTCTTGAGGATGCTGGGCAGTATATGAGATTGGTGGGGAAACTGAATTATCTGACGACGATCAGACCTGACATCAAATTCGCAGTCAGTGTTGTAAGTCAGTTCTTGTCTGCACCAAGGACTACTCACTTGGATGTAGTAATGAGAATTTTGAGGTACTTGAAACAGGCTCCATGACGAGGAATTCTCTACTTGGATCAAGGACACACCAGAGTTGCATGCTTCTCTGATGCAGATTGGACTGGATGTCCTTTTGATAGGAGATCGACTACAGGATATTGGGTCTTTCTCGGAGGAAATCTAGTGTCATGGAAGAGTAAGAAGCAAAGTGTTATGTCTAGATCTAGTGCAGAATTAGAATACAGAGCTATGACAAATGTGACACTAAAGATGGTTTGGATCAGAGACCTATTGACAGAAATTGGTCGCCCTCCAGAATGTCCCATGAGTCTATACGGCGACAATAAAACAGCAATTCACATTGATGAGAATCTCGTGTTTCATGAGAGAGCCAAGCACATTGAAGTCGATTGTCATGTAATCCGCAAGAAGCTCGAGGACGAAATCATCACGGCAGAACATGTATTGCCAGTACATCAGTTGACAAACATTCTTATAGAACCACTTGGTCGAACACGGGTTGAATTTATTTGTGACAAGCTGGACATGCATGATATATATGCTCCAGCTTGAGGGGAGCTTGAGGGGGAGTGTTAGAAGAGAGTATGAGTATTACTTTAGCATTAGTTTAGTCTCACATTGCCTGTGAGACTAATTTGTAATTAATTCATCTCTATAAATAATAAAGTATAGGGTGAGGGAAAACTCTCCCAAGAAACTCTTTTATCTCCAAATCTTAACACATGGCAATCCTTGGAATTTGGCCAACGCAAATATGTGGTTGAAAAAAAGCAAAAGTATTTGATAATCTGGAATTGATCCAATTGCGCTTTTGACTTTAAACTATAGTGGGGCTGAGAATATTAAATGAACTATAATACCGTGTCGTTTCCAATTCTGATCTTATCTCTCAACTTGTCCTTCTCTCTTTTCATTCGACTGTCCCCTTAAAAATCTGAAAATTGCAAACCAGCACATAATAATTAAAAATTACTAAAAAAGCTTCTTTAACTCTGAAAATTACAAGCCTAAACAATATGAAAATTGCAAATCAATCCTTCAAATCGTAAATTACAAATGCAACCCCTTAAAACTATGAAGGTAATCTATTCATAATCTAAAACTAAGAAAAGCTACCCCTTAAAATCTTAAATTACAAACAGCGTACTTAAAGATTGTAAAATTACAAACATTCTCCAAGGAAATCTGAAAATTGCAAACAAACACATGAATAATCTGAAAATCTGAAAATTACAAACATTCTCCAAGAAAATCTTAAAATTATAGGCAACACCTAAAAATCTGAAAATTACAAACAAACACATGAATAATCTGAAAATTACAACCCCTTAAGAATTTGAAAATTACAAACGTCCTCCTGAATAATCTGGAATTTATAAACACCCCCTTAAAGAATCTGAAATAACGAACAACTCCCTGAAGAATTTGAAAATTAAACATCCCCTGAAAGAAGCTTAAACTTACAAACATCCCCTATAGAATCTGAAATTTATAAATAGCTCTTTGAAAATTCTAAAAATTACAAACAACCCATGAAGAATCTGAACCCCCGAAAAAATATGGAAACTACAAAAAAATGCCTCAAAAGCGAAAAATTACTAAAAATCTGCTTCAAAATCTGAAAATTACAACGATGCATTTGAAATGTAAAAATGAGTAGTTCCTCCTTGAAAATCTAAAAGTTATGGACTGCCCCAGAAAAATCAGAAAATTATGAACAACCTTCTTAAAAATAAAAAATTACAAACATCCCCCTGAAAATCTGAAAATTACAATAATCCTTTGAAAAATCAGAAAATATCAAACAAACCACCTAAAAAATGTGAAAGTTAGAAAATTGAAATTATTCCCAAAAATCTTAAAATGTTGTAAACAACCCCCCTAAAGAATCAGAAATTAAAACAACTTTTTTAAATGTCAATTTTATAGACTTAAAATTAAAATTATTCCCAAACAATGAAATTGGAATTGTATACAAGTTTTAGATTCTATTAGTTCAAATCAATTCCTTGGATCCAAACGCAATATGGTTACCTTTGGTAAAGCTGGCTATAGAGTTTTGGAAAGTTTGGCTGTGTTTGGCAAACCTTAAAGCTTTGTATGTTAAACCTCCTTATAAATAAACCTCCTTTGGGAAAGGGCAAGAGAGTCTTTTGCCTAACCACAAGAAAACTTACCTATAATGCTAAAAAAAATAAGTTGGAAAAATCTCAACTTATAATTTCCTACTTGTAAGGAAAAAGTATACAAGTATATACGTAAAATTTACCAAAATGATCTTGGACCCTTATAAGGAAAAGCACACTTAACGAGTTAAAATCAGTGAGTTTCCAAACATGCTCTTAGGCTTTATGTGGTCATGTCAGGTTAAGATTGCAATAATTGGGATAACTGCTGGAGGTGTTGGGCTTGACTTCTCAGCTGCAGAAAATGTTGTCTTCTTGGAGCTGCCTAAATCTTCATCAGAAATGCTGCAGGTTCCTTAGTAATGATGAACTTTTCTTCTGCTTTCACTTGCCACGATCTGAGCTACTTGATGTTGCAAGAAAATATATATCATATAGTTCAACTAGCTACTGTTTTTCAGGATGTCATTGAGTCCTGATTCTATTGATGCTATTTCTTAACTCTTCGTGTATTGCAGTTTGCTTTACTTCTTTCATGCCAGTCAATTAAGTTCAAACACATCTTATATTTAATTAATCTAAGTAAACTTTATTATTCCTGGCTTCTGCACCTACTCTTGTATGTATGTACTTAAAGGAGAACCCAAGTATCACTGTTCATGTTGCTCATGCTGCAGTAAACAATACAGCCAAAAACTGTAGCATGATCAGCAAAAAAAACAGCCCTCTACACTTGAAGTACTGTTCATGCTACAGTAAAAACTGTAGCACAACATAAAATATTTTTGCTGCAGTATTAACATTTAGATCCTTTTTTAAATATAGATATATATATATAATTTCTAAATCATTTTTAAGTATAGAGGAGTAAGTATGAATTCTACATCAAATGTATTAAAACTTCCATTCTTCTTTAAGTATAGAGGAGTAGATATAATTTCTAATTTTAAGCATACAATAATCAAATGAAATGCATTAAAACTTAGAGAGAAATAAGTTTAAAATGGGGGCCATGCTTTGCACGGGGTGCACACTAGTTTGTATAATGAGATAAGATGTCAGTACTTCCCCCCCTATTACTCATAGTATCTTGAACGCTAATTTAACTCAGTCAATATCTGATAGCTTATTATTAGTTGCTACGAGTTTTAAATTATGACTGATACTGCTGTTCGGCTGTTCGCTGCTTGTTTATTACCGCTAGTGCTGTGCTGCCACAGTTCCTGTTTCTGTTAGAATTACTGCTTACTAAAATACTGCTTTTGCTGCTACTGCATCATTTTCATTTTTTATTTACTACGTCCATCAGAAGCAGCACTAAGTGCCAATATTTAGAAATTTGCATATGTTGCAACTTCTTCGTTGTTTATGTAAGATGCAGAGATCTGTTCAATGGCTCATGGAAAAAGGGTGTATGAGATACGGTTGGCTGTGCTATAAACTTGTGGGGCAGTGATTTGTTAATTTCCTTTCTGTGGTTAATTATAGGAAAAATGTTGATAGTTTTAAAGTGGATTTATCTCTAAGTACTTTAATTTTATTATCATGAGCCTCTGTAATAAGCTGCTTTATTTTATGTATGGCTCACAGTTCAAAAGTTTTCACTCTTTTATAAGCTGCTGTTTAGTTTTGTAAACTTAAATGTCAATATGTTGTGATGCTCGCTCACTAGGTATTGTCATTGTTGCAATACTTCCCTGGATAGATTATTATTATCAAAACTTCATTCCAGGTCACTTGTTGGCCATATAATGATATAGTCCCCTTGGTCCCCTCATTTGTGCTATAGTCTGCAGTTCTAATGTCATGTTTAAATGTGCTTGTGACTATCTGAAGGCTGAGGATCGAGCTCACAGGAGAGGACAAACTAATGCAGTCAACATATATATTTTCTGCGCGAAGGTCTTTGCAATTCAGATAATCCTATCATACAGTGCTAGTTCTTCTTTCATGTATAACTAACTCAAGGCTGAAAGTATTTCAGGACACGTTGGATGAATCTCATTGGTTACGTTTAAACAGGAGTCTGTTCTATGTTTCATCGTTGATTAATGGGAAAGCCGATGCTATACAAGAAATAGAGGTGGCTTCTCATTTTTTTCCTTCTCATTGTGAAGTGTAGTAAAATTTTGATTTATTTTAAGTGTCGTGCATTGTATCAGTTTCTAAAGTATTCTGCATTTTCCTTTGAATTTTGTACGAAATAATCTGAATGGTTTTGGCTTTTGAACACTGATTTAGTAGACATGCTTTTATTTAAGCCTGAACAAGTTAATTTTTTCATCATCTTTCTACAGTATGTATTTGGTTTTGTTGGATTCACAGGTGGACAGAATGCTTCGTCTAGATTATTCTCTTCATTCATCTAGTTACTCAAACTTGAACAGCAGAACTATTGATGGCTTTAGTGGTGATAATTCAGGTGGATCTTTTGAAAGTAGTATAAGAGTCACATAAGTCTAGCATGTAAATATTCCCATAGTTGATATATCTGACATACTCTTATTTCTTGTGATATTACAGTTAAGGGGGGAAAAGATGGCAAGAAACTTTTCAGTAGCACAACTGAAAACTGCGGAGGTTGCATGGCTGAGAACATAGAAGAAGAAAAGAATAAATCAATTGGAACCGACTCTTCTGAGTGTAAGGTGGAGTTTAGTTCTCTTCTCTTGCCCGTTCGTTGGCTCTATCTTTATATGATGAACCTTTATAGTGTGTTTAATGTTGTGTTTTCTGGAACTTCTCTTCAGAGTGAGAAGGATCTGGACCTAGAGTCGAAGGATTATGCTATTCCCCATGGAAATCTAGAAGTTAGTGAATATCAAATTGTACGACATGGACAATCTAGCACAACCTCTAACTGCATAGTTGACAAGGGTGCTATTGAATTTGATTTGATGGAGAATTTTGTGAATAAGGTTACTTCCACCGTCATAAACAATTACTTCTAATTTTCAGTATGTTTTAATTTGCAAAATTAATTTTGTTACCTGTTCTTATAGCTTATTAAGTTTAATGTTGCAGGCTGAAGGTGCGCATTCAGTGTCTAATAATGTAGATAATAGCAGTTCTGAGGTGGTTAAATCTGACACAGACTGTACCTCACAGGTTGAGACACTTCGGTTTGAGGTAAAACCTTTTTTTTTTGGGTCTATCATCTGTCTGTTTGCATCCTCTGAGTTTGTAACCTTCTGATGAGAACAGAAATTTGCCATCAGCAAGCTCCTTTTTCCTTCCTTGGCTATTCAATGATCTTTAATATCATGATATTGTATCCTGTGCAATGGCCAGATGAAGATTTTCCTATTTTAGATTGAAGGGGGAGAAAATGAGTATGTGCTTTTGGCTATTATCATAAAATACATGCCTTTGTATCTCTGAGGAAAATCCTATCAATTGTGAGAAATATCATGGTTTTATATGTTTCAAAGTGAGCAACAAAGAGGGTTGGAGCAAATAGATTGAGTTAGTAGAAAGGCATGTCATAACATGAAAATAAAATGTGAAACCAAGGATAGGAAAGAAAAGGTTTAGGAGTATACTAATTGACTGCACTATTATGGATAATTGGTTGAAACTGGTATGGCATGAGGAATATTAGAGAGACCAGGAAAAAGAAAATTCCATAAGACAACTATAAGACCGACAATGCTTCCTGGATCAGAATGTTGGGCGGTTAAGAGATGTGCAAAAAAAGGGGTAGCCAGGGACGAGTTCATGATTGATCGGTTGGGAGTGCTCAGTGCCATGGATGAGCAAATAAAGTCAAGCTTGTTATTAACTAAATTATTCCAATTTGTTGATTCCAAAAAGATTGACTTCCGTAAATTTGATGATACGAGACTCTAGGATAACTGAATTCAACAAACCCAACAAGAAAACTCAATTCAAAAGTTAACTAGTTTAGGAAAGCTAATCTAAAAGGTAATAAATTATGCGACTTTGATGGTACTTAGGGCTCTAGTATAACATGCTTAGAATCGAATTTTACCACATGCTTAGAGTTGAAATATCAAGTTCACTCAACTCTGTTATTGAAGCTTTCGAAGAAGGTTCTTCTACAAATGAACATTGAGGATTGACTAGAAGTTGCATTTCTTTCAGTATTATTGACTTTCCTTTTAAAAAATGCATCAACCTTGGACGTTTTTACCATGATTTATTTGCAATTTATATCAGTTCACCTGAAACTTTTTAAGAGCAACTACTGCAGTCATACAAATATAAAAATCCAACATTTTCCACACAAATTTTGTGAATAGATCCTTATTGTACTTAAATCCAATGATTACAAATGCACTTCAAATATTATCATATATTAAAAGTCAAACTCACTCGTTATTTTTATTATTCTGAACATAATATATATAAGATATAAATAAGAGGAACAGAGGAGAATAATTCATCAAATTTAATGTTATCTGAGAGGAAGAATATTGTGCAGAAAAAATAGGATCAAGAATTTACCTTATCAGAAAAGCCAATTCTTTGCAAATGTTGATGTTGTAAAATACACACAAGAACATTTTAAATAATAACTAACTGAAATCTCATTTTCATGTAGGTGGAAGCCAAAAATTATGTTTTCATAGCTAAACCTAAAGCAGATGACCACGGGGATGGGAAAGTTGAAAAGGAGAGAAATTAATAAGTTGGTGGACCTCACTACAGAACAATTAGTGATAGTAATATATTAAGAAAAATTCTTTTTTTTTTTTGGGTGGGGGGGGGGGGGGGGGGGTGTACAAAAGACCATAAATTTATCTATTAGAAGTGATGATTACAGTTAATGGGACAAAAAAGACAATAGAGGTAGACCTAAAAGAGTTAAGCGGACACAATTAAGAAGGATATGATAGTAGTTAAGAAAGGAGATGACCAAGGATAGAACTAAATGAAAGACTAGGATTCATATAGCTGAAGCCAAAGTTTAGATAAAAGCTTTGTTGTGGTTGCATGTTTAATGTTAAATTCTGGATCATTTTAACTATTACTGATATCTGTAAATTTAAATAAAAGCACACTGTTATTTATGAAATATACCAAATATGAGCAAAAAAATAAAAATAAAAAAAATTGTAAGCACAAGGGTGTATAACCATGTAATATATATGCTAAAATCCCTTACATTTAGTTCTGATAATGTTCTTGCATTTATCTGTTTGCATGGTGATTATGAGGCCGGCTTTTTTAATGATCATTAAAGATCAGGTATACAGTAATTTATTACCGGCTCCTTATCTTGAATTTTACTATTTTGGCATAATCTTTAGTTTTGCTATAAGCAAAGGTTGAACCAATAAAAGTGAACTCTAATCTTTATAGGCAGCTTCACTGAAAAATGAACTGGATTATAGTGGCTATTTTTCTTCACTTTCCAAAGAGCAGGATACATCTTTTATTCTGAAGTCATTATAGGTAAATGCCTGTACTGGGGTTGGGATGGCCAGTTTCATCCCGAATGATTCTTCACTTTGCAAAGAGCAGGACACATCTTCTATTCTGAAGTTACATAGGTAAATGCCTGTACTGGGGTTGGGATGGCCAGTCTCATCCCGAAAGTGAACCATCAAACTAGGTTGAAAATGTTCACAGATATGATCATCAAACCAAGTCGAAACATTCAACAGTCGAGGAACAAACTCAGTAGAATATCACCTGCCAGTCTCATTCGTGTAAGAATTTGTAATTCCTCTTATGACACATCATAGAATGAGTATTATGGCAAAGAACAAGAATAAAACGGAAGAAGAAAATTGTCTAATAATCACAAATCTCCACATGTTTACATCCTATCCAATAATGATATCACTCTGAGAACAATACACCCTGGACAGGAAGCTGGCAAGAGTGATACCTGATGGATACTTCCCTACTTGACTCCAGTCCAATGTTTTAAAAAGCTAGCGCCTAGCACGCCTAGGCCTAGGCCTTGGGAGTGCCTGGGGGAGCATGGACCTCTTATACAGACTGTACCGCTTAGGTCATGGTCGTGATTCTCTGTGTTGCAGCCTCCACAACCTCCAACCTCCTTCGAACTCCAACACCTCCTCCACCTTCTCCGACTTAAAAAAAACCTCTTTCAGCATCACTTAAATATAGAAATCTACCTAGGTGCCAGTCTAGCACATATCGTTGCTTATTGCTTTCTATAATATTGGCTTTTATTAACAATTATTGTAGCTAAAAAAATATAGGCTAACTGCCTAGGCCTCGCCTAGGCTTCCGCGTAGGCGTCTGGGCTCTACGCATTGGGTCCGGCACCTACACCGC